ATATTTTTTTTTACTTTGGAGCCGATTGGTCTACCATGCTTTAGGCATGCTCTAAACTCATTGCTTATAATATTAACAAATTGTCCTACTGGGACGTCAAACTAAATTGGATTATTTGTAGCTAGTATATGTGACCTCGTCACTCTCTTTGGGTCAGCAAATGCATCTAGCAATTGATTTGCTATACTTTACAAATGAATAATTTTTTAAACTTCTAGTTCATATTCTTTTGTACGAGGATTGAGATGATTTAATGATAATGTATTCCACGTAATTTCTTCCACCAGCTGCTTATTTTCTCCCACTAATGTTGAAATTTTTTGTCTCATCAATATGACAATCGGCGAACCGCACATTCAAAAATTCTTAGCTGGGAAATACTTGGCCCCTGATCAAAAACCAATTGTAAAGGGGCGAACTTATAATAACTAGTTGCTCTAATGCATACAACTGTTTATGTAGGTACATTAGCATGTCCACAGACCGAAATGGGGAATTTTATTCTAATAAGTAATGGTCTAGCAATGAACTGCAGACATCTTATCAATAATTTTGATAGACCAATTTTTTTTGAACATGTGCTACAGGATGTTCAACAGTTATTCCAACTAACATCAATGGTCAATAAAAACATGAGATATACATTCTCCAACATTATCAAGATGAATTGTCTTAATTGCATATTCTAAAAATTGTCCTCTTAATAAAAATATTTTGGGCAAGCAATCTCGTAGATGCCAAGTTGTGAAATGATAATAAACATACATATGAACATCTTATACAAGCATCTATAGGCACCATAAAATATCAAATGATGCACATAGTGGATGCATTGGTCCATATATATCACCTTGAATACATTTAAAAAATCCGGGAGATTTAATCTCAACTTTAGTTGGTGATGGTCTAATAATTAGTTTACCTTGAGAAAAAGTAGTGCATGAGAATTCATTATATTGAAAAATCTTCTAGTCCTTCAATAGGTGTCAATGTGAGTTCTCAATTATTTTTTTACATAACTATTGATCAGGTATGCCCTAACCAGTCATACCAAATAATAATAGTGTTTGGATCAGTGAATTTTTGGTTCACTACAGCATATGCTTTAACTGTACTGATATTTGTGTAGTACGAGCTCGAAGAAAACATGGGTGGTTTTTCTAATACACATTTCTTACCTAAAACATTAGGGGGGGTTATTCATTGGTGTAATTTGGGGGATAATGGGATAATTTTTGGAACACCACTTTTTGGTGTTATTCATTGGGGTAATTACAATTGGAGTCAACTTTGTGGTGTTATTGGTTTGTTGGGGTAATTGGGGGGACAAATACTCCACTTTCTCCTAAATTACACCAACTATATAAAAATCCCCTCCACCCCTTTCTCATAATTACCCCAAATTTACCTCATCCTCCATATTGGAACAATGTTGTTCCACTTTGAAAGCAATTGGGATAATTTTAAAATATTTTTGTATTACTTAACTAATACATGCTAATTATAATATAAATATATGATATGATATATAAAATATAACATATATTAATATTTTAATAACATAATTTAATAACATATATTAATAATATTATATAATAGTAATTATAGTATAACGTATTTATTATAATATTATATAATATTTTAATAACATAATATATTAATAATATTATATAATAACATATATTAATATTTTAATAACATATATATAATATTTTAATAACATTTATTAATAGTATTATGTAATATATTATTATATAATATTAATTAGTAATTATAGTATAACGTATTTATTATAATATTATATAATATTTTAATAACNTAATATTATGTAATATATTATTATATAATATTAATTAGTACATTATATCCTATGATACTATATTATAATATATTAAATTAAATAATATATTATTAAAATATTATATTAAATATATTATTCATATATTATATTAATTATTATATAATGTAGCATACTAATATAATGTTAATTAGTAATTATTGTATAACATATTATATTTTTGTATAAATAAAATAATGTATTATATTAAATATTATATTATTAAAATATTATATTAAATATATTGATATTATATTATATTAATTATTATATATAGTATAGCATGCTAATATAATATAATACAATACAATATAATAATTAATAATAGTAATTTGTAAGTATAGTACAATATATTATATTTTAATATAAAATAAAATAATATTTATATTATAATAATATACTAAATAATATACTAAACCAATTGGATAAGTTAATTTAGAAGTAATTAATAGATAAAATTATATTTTAATAAGGTGTCACATCATCAATTATCCCACATGAATTGTCAAATCAAATGCTGAAATTATCCATTATCTCTTTTTATCCCATTTTACCCCACTCAAAATATCCCAAAGGGGTAAAATTGTTCCATTGGAACACTTTTCCCCTTTGGCCCCAAGTTGTCTCAACCAATAACCCCCAGTTAGTTGTAATATAGAGATATTTGACAAATTCTCATTTACTGTCTCAATATGATATTCATTTCAGTGAATATCTTTAAAGCTTAATAAATTTCAGTTGCTAGAGAATAATGCTTATCTATAATAAATTGTGTTCCTTTAGGCCCCGTTTGGCAAAGGGTTAAGGAGGAGGGATTAAAGAGAAGGGTTAACTTAGTTAATCCATCGTGAAGGGTTAAAAAAATCCTAAACCCGTTTGGATATGATAGTTAAGACAAGGGGTTAAGTCTTTTGTGTTTGGCAAATGAAGAGGGGTTAAGGAGATTAATCTCATGATTTTTTTTTAAAAATACCACTTTCGCCCTTATTGAAGATTTATAAAAAATTACCTAATCAAAAACGAAAAAATTAGTGAATCCCTTACCCGTTCTCAATGCTTTCCAAGCCAGAATCCCTCACAACCTTCATCATTAGCTTATCGCAAGATGCAATAGTCTCAAGAAACTGCTTCTGATCTCAGACAAATCTGTCATCTCCAGCAATGAGTTAGTGAATCTAATACCACTGAGCGGGTTTTTGATCTCTTGACAAATGTAAGTGAGCTCTTTCATTCTTGCAAAACATTTCTTTTCCTGCTGCCTCTGGATTTCAAGAGCCCGCTGCAGTTCAGAACTAGCTATTTGTAGGAAACAAAATGCTCCAATTATATGTCCATCAATTTTAGTCCTTGCATTTGCCGTCAATAATGCCTATACAAATTTGCCATTCTTATCAAAGAATGCAAATGGATACTTGTCTGTCTCCTGACCCTCGATTGCATTGTGTATTCCACTCTGAGCAACATGTGTTCTCATCCGGGAGGCAAAGGGGACAGTTTTAAACCGTCCCCAAAGAACCGTCCCCGTATATCTATTTTGTGGTAGTGAATCTCTCAAAATAAGCTGCAGTGAATGTATAGCGTCCATTTCCGCATTCTCCCATGGCAAGCTCCTGCTCTTGACAGCCACCTCAAGGAAAGCCTTGAAGGATGAACGAGCGATGGCGTAGAAGGGCTTGCCGGAGTGCTTGGAGTGGATCTAGATGGGGTTTAGGAGGGTGATCTCACGCGCGGTGGCAGCACGCTCGAGGAGGGCGGCGGGGGATGGGGTGAAGAGGGAGCGGACGTCGGTGCCGAGGGTGAGAGGGTCGGATCTCTTGTCGTCGTCGAGGACGAGGACGGATTGGGGGACGAGGTCGAGGAGGTCGGGGGAGTTCTCAGAGAAGGCGAGGAGGAGGAGGGAGGATCCGTCGATGGCGAGGGTGCAGCTGAAGGGCTGGATGTGACCAACGCACTGGATGCGGGGAGGTAGGCGGTGATCTGGTGCTCGTCGGCGGCGGGGGCGGAGGAGGAGTGGGCGTGGAGGGAGTGGCAGTAGTCGAAAGACTTGCCGGAGGACTGCTTCTACTCGAACACGGCGTGGAGGTAGCCAAATTTCCGCTGCCGAGATCTAGAAAAAATTCCTCCGCCTACCCTTGCGAGAGAAGAGGGAATAAGCCTTGTTCCGCCGATCTCAGAGGAATTGTTAACCCTTCAATTCACGGGATAAAGGAGTTTTATCCTCACGTGCGGGTTAGTTAATCATGGAGCTTTTTTTTCTGTTTGGCAGGATAACGAAGGGTTAAACCCTCTTAACCCTTCATTTAACCCCTTGCCAAACACAGCCTTAGGGAATAATAAAATAGCTTATCTAGATCCTTCAATTTGTCCTAGCTCGGAATTCACCAAAAAGTGTTCTTTGAATCCATCAAAAAAAAATCTTCTAATCCACAAAGAACTTTGAATCCAGGAAGAAAATAAAATAAAGAGGAATTTTATTAATTAAAAGTTATGTCTCTAGGGCTTAGAATCCTCTGCTTAAATAGAAAACAAATAAGAATCCTAGTAAGACTAGAATTAAAAAATAAATAAAAAGTATAAAATCCTACCCTAAAAAAACTCCTTATAATAAAAGAAACAAATCAACTAAACATGAATCATAAATGAATTTGTTTCCTAATCTAAATGGACTCCAACCATATTACTAAAAAAACTAAATATAGTTATTTTTGGATGTTTGCTAAAAATTGATGATACTAATGACATTTTGGAAATCTAATAATCCAATTGGTTTTATCTAGTCAATTTAGGTGATTTACATATATCATATATTAAAATCCACCTTCTGGGTTAGAAGATATAATCAATTTTTTTTTTTTGCGAAAGTCAATAATATACATGTATCCGTATTTAGCTTTTGTCCCGCTCCTCCATAAAATTGTACGTTAACTGTCCAAAAAAATAAGTTAATGTTGAGAGTGAAAAACAAGCCGAAAAGAAAACGAAGTGTTGTTGAGAGTGGGACTTGAACCCACGCCGTTTCGGACCAGAACCTTAATCTGGCGCCTGACGTGAAGCTTTATATACCGTATTATTCTAAGCGTAACCTATAGTTTGCATTAAACCTCATCCCAGCTCTTAGCAGACCGAGAATTGAGGTGCAAATTACCCTGCAGCCAAATTTCAGTTCCAGCCGCAAATTAAATTCCATTCAGATAAATGGTGATCTAAGGATAGGCAAAAACCACAAGTACTAAAGACTTAATATACATTTTCCACCCTCGCCGTTATAAGAAAAAGAAGGAAGGTAAAAAAAGAAAAAGATACATTTGACACCAAAAGAAGGTATTTTCAGATATAATCGGACTGCACAATCTTTGTTGCAGCATACTTTCCCAAGAAATCATAACCATGGTAGTACAAAGCTTCTATCTCCACTCTATGCCCCTTCTCAACCATCGATGCCAACTCGGTTCTGTAAGATTCCTTTAAATAAAGCAACAATACCTTCAGTTAGATGATTTGAAAATTTGAACCATCCAATTCACTTAAACAACACTAAGATATCCTTTTGAATTTTATTTGTTTTGCAAGAGAAGATGCCCACAATGAACATAACAAAAATTAGGTGTTTTCACCTCGGAATCAAAGTATAGATTGTTCAATAATAAGATGGATGCCCCTTTCAACACTTAAAAGTCCTAACTTCTCCAATTAAACGCATCTAGAGTATTACTGTATTTAGTACCCATCATTTTTTAGTTTGCTCATGTGTTTGTACATGTAAACTGTATAGACACAGAAATGAGACTATAAATATAAATACTTATATACACAAGCACGAATAAAAAACAGTAATAATGTGTTCAGGCCGTACAGTGTAATTTCAACAAGAGAGTCTCTATATTTGAGCTACAGCACGCAAGCAGGTAACAAAAGATTGCACCGGTTAAAAACAGAGGACGAAAAAGATAATATTATCTATAATATAATAAAGATAAGATCAAACAAGCTGCATGGGGACTGAGGATAGGGTCAATAAAATTATGCCAGATTATGAAATTAGATAATGACCCAGCATTTAAACTTCGACGATCAAACATGGCTTACCCGAAAGTGTAAGAGATTGAGTTTACCAAAGACCGTAAATATACCCATTATAAACATCACTGAAGTGAAAAGAAAGTGAACATGAATCTAGTTAAACTGAAACAGACAATATTTAAGTAATATTAGATGTTACACAAACCAGCTTATATACCAAACTTGCAGGATATCCGTCACCACTACAAACTGAGAGCTGGGGAAAGAGAAAATAGCCAGTAAGTTGATAACGTACAGAACATCTATGACCTTAATAATAACTACCAAAAGTTTGAGGGAGGGGGAGAGAACAAGCTCATATAGTAACAAAATCCATGTCATACTCATTTGTACCCAATCTAAAACCACTCTTGTTGAAGAGGTATTGTCTTAAGCTTCATTCTGAGTTTAGCGACTGAACTTTCCGGTGCATCATATGAAAATGAACTTTCTGGTGCATCATATGAAAATGAAGAAAACTAAGACATGTAGATCTAGAATTCAACGACCTATAGATTTGAGTGTATCCACAACTTTGTTAGAGCAATCATCTAAACATAAATGTATCAAATATCTGCATCTATCAATGAAAACAAGAGCCTAGTAGAATCCCATTCCGCAGCCATAATCAAGGTACTGAATCCATATTTTCATTATTATATAAAGCAAATGTAGGAAATGCAAATTATCGGGCAACAAGCCCCTGAGTATACAGCTATCTATGAAAAGTTTGGATAGGTAGGCCAAAAGACATCAAGGTACTGTAAGACTCCATCAGGATATATGTAGATCTCAGAACAGGCAATTAATAATTACTTTATTAGTGATCTCGCTATTAGGAAATAATATAAAGGGCAGAGCAGATGATAGGAACACGGAGAAGATATGAAAAAGACAATTTGAAGTTCCAAAGAAATAGAATAGTAGTTTCACAATTTCTCCCAGATCAAGAGGGAAGTCGAAACCATTAGTGGATTCCATGTCACTAATTAACTTTGTCTTATTGTCTGACCGTAACTGCATTTCTTATGCATGATTCTCTTATCTTTATGATCATAACAACTATATTCAAGCCGTCTAAAATATTAGGTATCTACCTGCAACAATTCAGAGGATAGCAAGCTTTTGGCTATTTGAAGGTCTCGTGGCTTCAGATGAACCAATGACTCTTCAGGTATAAGCTGCAGATCATCTCCTCGTAGTCCAAGCCATTTAACATTGCAAGCTGAGAGACGTTAAGCAGATAGTTCATCCCCAAGAGTTAAAATTCAGCAAGCATGATTGTTGCAGAAAGTACCATATCTATATGCCTCCAAACCCATCGTAATGCTTCCAAACTTATAGGTGCATAAAATTGCTAGTCCTGCAGGATTCCTGCAAAAACTTCATAGTTGCGCATATGATATTTATAAATACCTGATAATCCGAAAGACCTTTAAGATTCCTTTCTCACCAATCTACTAAAGCCAAGATTGGCATATGTGGAAAGCTTTGGCTTAGCCGATGGAGAAGAAACCTGTTTACAACCAAAGAGTAAACAAAAGAGGATAAAGCCATATCAGACTATCAGTAACAGATATGCTGAGAAGAGATAGCAGTGCAATAGAAAAAAGCTGAAATAAAACATTCAATTCTTCAAAAGAATGAGTCTGCGCATAATTAGGTTAATGGATTAGGATTCTAACTTTGGGGTATGAATCTGCTAACCTGCAGGAATAATATATCATTTCTTATATAAATACATCATACACAGATCTTCTCAGGATGGTGTTGTGTATCCCAATTCCAATGTTATTATGTCAGAGGTACAGAAGCATTGGTTACTTTTAATCAAGCTATTCCTTTCCTCTTATGAATTATGCCTATTAAAAACAACAAAATAGCTTAGTTTTAGTCCTGTATACCAATGTGATCATATGGTCTATCATCTGTGTAAAGCCAATAGCTCAGTTAGTCGGAACACATTTCTTCTCTCTGAGATAGGACTAAGCTTGCCACTACGCCAATATGCCCAAGCAATCAGATCAATAGATTTTTTATGAATCTATGAATCAACAGTACATTCTTTTAAAGGGGGGATATCTTGACATTGTTGTATAATAAAAGTTATTGTTATACAATGCAAGAACAGTATTAAATGTGAGAGGCACGTCCAATAAAAATATGGGGTCTCATAAGTTTGTACCTTGTAGCAATGTCTGGATACCCCTTGGCTGTGATCAAAATGGAAGGGACTTGATTGTATAAACGGTCCTCAGCCAGTCTCTGGAAAATTGCATCCTAATTGAACTTGAGTCTTATCAGTCAGGTGATAATAGAATCAGGAGATGCATTCAACACAAATATGTCAAGAAAAAAAATTGAGGTACCTTCTCAACTACAATAATATACCGAGCATCAGAAACAAAATCCAGTTTACTCAATAGACTCAAGTCTCCAGTTATAGCATGTCCTGCAGGCCCGAGTACAGCACAATCAATCGTCTCTTGTCCTGACTCCTGAGTTTGTGTTGTTTTAAGTTAAATAGAGAGCTACACGAATCATGAAGATGAAATATACCTGTGTTTATTTTTTTGACCAAGAATCTGATAAAATGAAAACTTCTAACTAGAATAACAAAACCCTCTACTATGAAAGGGTAGCACACAGATTCTTCAACTTACTATGGGTTACAGAGTTTCAAGATGGGGAAAATGCACCTGTAAAAGTAAACGCCCGGTGATAGCACCTCTACCAGATGCCATGATTCCGAGACTCTGTCGACTACAATGGATTAATGCAATGACATCTGTAACTTGATTTAAAGATGACAAATTTAGGCATGACATGTTATTGATAAATCATAATCAAGAGGCTTGAAGGATACATGACCTTGTACTGTTCTATTCACTTGATCCTGGGAATTGAAGCAATCAGGTGAGTCACAAAGCAGTTTATAGAAAAGCTCACGCTGTGTTACCAGCTTTTCTTGAGCCAGAATTTTGAAGCACAACTCCATGACTTTCCATACTGCGAGATGGGCAGAAGCCAAGGAACAAATAAGCTACATGTAAGTTGGAAGCACGCTGACCAAGGATAACCAAACAATTGGAAGGACAAAGTATCCATGGACCGGATCCACTGGACATGTGATGTCCCAAGGAATGAGAGCCTTGGATCAGTGAAAAACAGGAAGGGTTTGGGAAGAAGTGTACTAATCCAAGGGTCTTCTTTTTTTGGCCCTCCATGTAAGCCATGGATGCAGTTCATTGGAATGTTTTCCATTTGGAAGTCTATCTATGTACCTCTGATAAATGGCTTAGCATCATTGCTCCTCATCAAAGACCTGATGGAGAAAGATTTGGAGAGAAAGACTGAGGAAACATCACTCAAGAGACCTTGACGCGGACCGCTGTTGCCTGATGTCCTACTGATCTATAGTCAATATAGTTGAACATTAGTGATAGGGACTAAAGGAACCTGCAACTATAGAACATGAGATGGGAGTCTAGTTTTTCTTATAGTACTAATAATTTGATCTCAAATCTTTAATTAGTTGGCTATCAGCACTTTAGTTTTGTAATTTAACATATGCATAAATTTTAAAGTCCTACTCGATCTTAGCACCACATTATTGCTTACAGTCTTTTTATTGGTAAAGCCTCTTGTGGAAATATGATGTTTTCATGCCTTATATTTTTTTTTATTGAGTCACTTGTCTGATTCTTAACATCTCGCTAAACTATAGGCTAAAATACCACTTTAGCCATTAAAGTGGCACCTACTAACCAATAAGTCCTAAGAAGTTACGCCAGCGACAATAACATCTATAAATTGATACAGGTAACCACTTATACCTACTCAGGTCACTAGAGTTTTGATTTGTGTGGGAAAATTATGGATTTTTGCATATATAACCTTCATATCTCTCACACTTACAGATTTATCCTCAGAATTAAAATACCTACATAAAAACCCAACTATGTCTTTCTTCTCAACCTCTCTCTCCTCACTCCTCTCACTTTCCTTCTCCACTTCTCTCCTCCCCTTCCTCCACTTTCTTCTCCGCTTTTAGTTAGTGTCAGAGGGGGGAGAGGAGAGAGAGAAAAGGACAGGAGGGAAGAGGAGGAGAAAACCAAGGTTATCGATAGCAGATAGTGTAGCGTAGCAGTGAGCTACCGCTAGGGCTATTTGAGACTATTGCAGCAAAATAGTGACAAATAGCACAAAGTCAAATTGCGGTCTAATTTAAATATGTATAGATATTTAAAAAATCAAAAAATTAAAGAAAAATCTAAAAATTCTAAAAATACATATTTGATAATTTATATAGACTCTAAGCATGAAATGACATGTTGGAGGTGGCGAAGGAGATGGAGGAGCTATTGGAGGCGACGAAGGAGCGAAACTAGAGGTGACGGAGGAGCTGTTGGAGCCTCGGAGGTGGCAGAGAAGGCGGAGGAGCAGAGCTAGATGTAGTGAGGAGCCGTTGGAGCCTTGGAGGCGCGGAGGACATGGAGGAGGTGGTGATGGTGGCCGAGGAGCGGAGCTAGAGATGGCGACGGAGCTGTTAGAGACTTGGTTGTGGCTGAGGAGATGGAGAAATAGTTAGAGATGGCAGAGGATCAGAGCTGGTGGCTGCAAAGGAGTGGAGAGGAAGAGAAAGGAGTTAGGTTATTTTTGCGTCGGGTTCAGTAGGATTTGGGTCAGGTACTTAAAAAAAAGGTATTGTTTAGCGCTTAAAAATTCTTTTTCAGCTCTTTGGTGCGCTATTTGCCGTATTTACGAGCAAATAGTGGTGTAAGAGCATCTCCAAGGGTTCCCTACAATGTCCCTTAATCTAGGGGGATTTTTAAGGGAGGGGAAAGTTCTTCTCTAATGGTTCCCCCTTAAAAGTCCCCCTACCCTTTAATTATTATATTTAAGTGTTTTAATTTTATTGATTAGAATTTAATTAAATATGTGGTTTATTTATAAATAAATAATTAATTAAATATTAATAACTAAAAATAAATAATTAATTAATTTAAATTAAGAAATTACCTTATATACTCATTAAATTAATTAATCTTATTAAATTTTAACAAATAATTAATTTATAAAAGTTAAATATTAAATTAATTTATATAATAATTAATTTATATAAATTATTTATAAAAGTTAAATATTATTTTAAATTTAAATTCATATTATTTTAATATTAATTTCATTTAACAATAATATCTCAACTGTCATATCTCAGCGGTCGTATTATAACATTCATATTTCTTCGGTCATATATCAATAGTCATATTTAAACGGTTATATTTCAACGGTCATATTTCAACGGTCGTTTTTTAATTAAATGTGGTCACTCTCTCTATAAATAGCACTAGCAGTGTCTTTCATTTTCACTAAATTCAAATTCATTTAATTTTTTAACCCAATCTTCAATATTATTTATGGCTAGTAATTTGTTATGTGCCTTGCTACAAGAGGAAGAGGATGACGACGATGATGATTATGCAACCTTATTAGTAATCGCATCTTTGGAAGAACACCACTCTAGCGAAGGTCAAAGTTCATGTCGTCGTGGTTCCATTCAAGGGCGCGTTGTAATTTAACGCAATAGAGCTGAAGGTCACGAGAGACTTTTTTCATGGTTATTTTAGTGAATCTCCTGTGTATCCTGCAAAACTATTTCGAAAGAGGTTTCATATACATCGCCCACTATTTTTGCGTATTTTATCCGCAGTGGAAACACACGATTCCTACTTTGTCCAGAAACGGGATGCTGCTGGGAAAATTGGTTTATCATCACTACAGAAAATAACTGCTGCTATGATGATGTTTGCTTATGGAGTATCAACAGAAAGTAACATACTTTGCTCTATCTTTATGCGCTCTTGCTCCTAAACATAAATTTGATGAAATAATTCTGTTCTTTTTGTTTCTTTTTCTTTCCGATCCTGCTTTTTTTTATCAATAAACAACATCACTGGTGTAATTTCAGAAGTCATATGCTTGTCTTTACCTTGTTTTAATATTTCTTTTGCAGCCTTTCTACCTATGGGCCTTGACGAACTCTCAGTCGGACATTCATCTTCCCTGCAATTTATTGAATCTAGAGTTGCAGGAGAAGATGTAGCAGGACTTGAATTTTGGACATCTTAGATTTTTTTCATTGAAAATTAGCCAAGCCACTTTGGATAAAACCTTAAATCATTCCAACAATGTAAAAATTAAAAACTTGCTCATTGCATGCTTTGAAACATTTGCATCGCTTCCATAATCTAATTTAAAAATAAAATAAATTTACTAACATGTAAAAAGTAAAACAATTAATAAAAGCCTATACTAGAAAAATAGCCTACACTAGGAAAAATGCCTATACTAGAAAAATACCCTATACTACAAAGACAACCTATAATTAAAAAAATCTATACTAGAAAAAAAGCTATACTAGAAAAATACCATATACTAGAAAAACAACCTATAATTAATAAAAAATATTAATAAAAATTATAATAAAAAATTATAAGGGGTACATTTTAAAAAATATTAATCAAATTGAATTAATTATACATTAACTCAATTATTTTATTTGAATTAACTATACGTTAACTAGATTTAATTAACTATACATTAACTCCATTAAAAATATTAATATAAAATTATAAGGGAAATGTTAAGGGACTTTAACCTTCCCCCTTAATTTGGGGAGGGAGTTAAAGGGGTTTGGGGTGAAGGGGAAAGTTTTCCGGCACCTTGGAGCACGTTCCCCTCCATTCCCCCTTAATTTAGCTAAGGGGTCAGAAAAATCCAGCCCCTTGGAGATGCTTTGAGCGCTATTCAAAGCCCGTAATGGTTGAAATCATAGCGCTGAGGGCCACAAAAGCTATTGCGGCACACTCGCGATACTATCCATCGCTATTTAAAACAGTGGAGAAGGATGAGATGAGAAATAGAGAGAGGTTAAGGAGAGAAACATGAGTGGAGAAGGAGGAAGAGGAGGAGGTGTGGATGAGGATTTTGGGAAGGAGGAAAGGGGAGAGGGAGTAAGAAAGGAGGGAAGAAGAAGATGAAGCAGAAAAAAAGGTTAAGTATGTACTGTCACTTTATTGGCTAGTGCGTGTCGCTTTATAAGTTTTATTGGTTAGCGGGTGTCACTTCGTGGGCTAAAGTAATATTTTAGCCCTAAATTATAGCACTAGTTCAGAAAATATTATAGAAACAAAAGTTAAGGAAAATCGACAGATTCTATTTTTTTTTCATTTACTTCAGCTGAAATGGCTCTATTTCTATTGTACCCATCGAAATGAATGCAATAAACAATAAAAGAAATCTGATACCTACCAGATAATTGATTGGCAAGTAAAAACCAAAAAACAATGAATTTATTTTACTTCCAAATAAATGAATGAAAAAAATAGTGGTTAAATTCAAAAATAAAAAGAAATTGAGAGACCAATGGGAGATCGGAGATTGCTGGAGTGGGAGAGGCAAGGGATTTGAGGAAATTGAGAACAGCGACTTCAAGCCTTGCTCGAACCTGAAAGGGACAGATTTAAGTAAAAAAAATCCCTAAAAAAAGATAAATTCAAATAAAAATTGAAGAGAGAGAGAGAGAGACCTGAGAAGGAGGAAGAATGTCGGCTGAGCAAAGGCGTTGATCTGCGAAGAATAGAGAAGACTTCGGGAGACTTGAATCCATTGATTTTTCTATTTTCCCCTCTTTTCTCTGTCTAGGGTTGAAGACGACCCTTTGCGTTTGCCCGCCACATACTTCGTAGCTCGCAGGCTTTTTAGGGCTTGTTTGGATTGAGGGGAACGAGGGTGAAGGGAAGTTAGGGGAACCATTCACCTCTATTCATCTTGTTTGGGAACACTTGAGGTGAAGTTAATTCACCCTAGTTCCTCTTGGTTTACCCTCTAATAGTATAAAAATTGTTACCCCAAATTGGGGTGTAACCAAGGGAAAGAGAACTCCCTTCCTTTCCCTTCCCTTTACTTCACTTTCCTTCACTCAGTTTCCCTTAACTTCCCTTCACCCCCTACAAATCAAAACAGGCCCTTAGAGACAAATGTAACGAGGGTGCAAACAAATAACAAATTGAGTTATTTTTATCCACTTTTTATGAGACAATAGTCTAATGAGCCCCTAACATTTACCCCTCTATTCCCCTAACTTTTATTTTTTGACAAACAATGCTCCCATCTTGCTATTCCGTTATCTCTTTAGACCCTCCACAAGTTAACTTGTTTAAAATACGGGTATCTTGGTCTTTATTTTTATTTTTTTGGTGGGAATAACTCCCTTCTTCCCTCCAGAATATTACTACCCCCTCCTCATTTATAACCTTCATATATTTCTCCTCAATTTCCCTGTTTTAGAATCTCAGACAAGTGTCCCTTGTCTCTCTTTCTCCATCCTACATTTCACTTTGAAAATGGCAGTTTCCTCTCAAAAAATACAATAAGGAAAGAGCTAACGAAAGATCTTATATGGTTTTGACAGTTTAGTTAGATGAGGATTGACTATTGTGATTTGATCAGAAAAATCACAACATTACATATTAAATACATCCAAGAAACTAGCAAGTGCGGACTATTATTTCCAAACTTCAGTAATTTTTGAATGCATTAAAAAGTTCAAAGGCTGTATAAGATCAAAGGCAATCAATATAAGCAAATTCAAAAGCTTTCATATTAATTTTGTATATATCCTACACTTTGCAGCCGTATCAATCTGCATGAATTCGCTGAAATCACAGGAACATGACCCGAACAAGTTTAAAATCATATAACAAATGAATTTTTAGGAGAACAAAGAACTGCTAGCCGGCATTACACCTTATAGCCTAGACAACAAGACAATTAGTCTTGATATGATCATATCGCATACTAACAAATAGGTATGAAACCCATGTTAAAAGAAGCAAAAACTTGAAACTATTGTGCAAGGAAACCAGACATGACCTGAGAAGGCCATCAACTTTTCTTTAGCATACTAACAAATAGGATTTCATCTTCGAACTGCATTGAAACTGAAGTTTGAAAAACAAAACGATCCTTCTTCCATCGCCGATGGCCTCGCTGTGATTGATTCCCCCTCACAATAACCCTAGTTTGGAGAAAAAACTACCAAATTCAATTTAATACTTCTTAGAATATGGAGTTGCAAACGGAAAGCAATGTAGAGCAGATAAAAACTTTATAAGTGACTTTTTTTATATTTCATTGTATGACAATTAGAAAGTGACTCAAAATAGATGATGCGAAAGGGTGTAAATCAATTTTAGTTTTGCCTCAAGTTCTCAAAATTAGTTTCACAAGTTTTTGGGGAATGATGAAAGAAAGTAAATTGTGAGAAGGGAGAATACAATATTTTATTATCACATCAACTTCTTACATATTTCATTTTCTATCATGAAAACAAGATTTAGAAAATATAAATTACTTGAAAGAAATACTTCCTCTCCACCCTCTATTTTCCATTTATTTTCTAGTGCCAAACACCATAGGGAAAATCATAATGTAAAAAGTGTATTATTGAGTTGAAAAAGTATTTATGATTATTAATTTGAAGTTTATTTTCGGTAAAGAATGGTTAGGTCGTTTTCATTACCAAATAGGCATTTTGAGTACAGGCTCCTTTACAAAATTGAACTTCTCAACAAAATTAAATAGCTAGGAGCAGACATATATAGCTCCGAACAGCAACTGAAGGAACTTCAGAAAAAATAAACGGTAACTTTCACCTAAACCCCTGGCCTATGGGCGGTTGCATATATCCCTCCTCATCTTTGCTTATTTTACTTAATCCCCTTAAACTCTAGAGTGTCTCACTTAACCCCTTTGAAGTTTGGCGTTTCTTCAAATGAGTAATGGTAGAATGACCAAAATGTCTTTTTTTTTAAAAAATAACCACTAGGAGCAAACATAGTTCCTAACAGCAGCTCAAGGAATTTAGAAAATATAAGCGGTAAATTTCACTTAAACCCCTGAACTATAGGGGTTTGCATATAACCCTCCCCATCTTTGTTTATTTCGCTTAATCCTCTTGAACTCTAGAGTGTCTCACCTAACCCCTTTGAAGTTTGGCGTTTCTTCAACAGAGTAATGGTAGAATGACCAAAATGTCCTTTTCAAAAAATAACCCCAAATCCAATTTGAAAAAAACCTCCAATAAAAAACAAGGGTTTTTTTTTGTTTATTAACTTCCAAAATCAATCCAAATCCAACCACCGACTCTGTCTCCTTTCAAGCCCTCACTTCGTCCTCCCCTCCTATTCCTCTCTAGCCGTGGGCTACCCAAAAAACCAATCAATAAATGAAACATCATCATCATTGTAGGCAATCAGAAAGTACAAACCGTTCAATAAGATGAGTTAAACATAAAGATAGGCCCCCGAAGATAATTGGGTCATACTACTTAAACACAACAAAAGTCAAGAAAGTTGACATAACTCAGTGGAACACAACCCAACACAGACTTAAAACTCCATGAAGGCCCAAAACCAGCGTAATCAATAGATGTGCTCTAAGAACAGGGTAAAGATAAGCAAGAGCTAACCCAACGAAACTTAGACACCACTGACCGTACAGAAGACATGGCATCACTGACATGATTTGACAGCTTCATCTAAAATCTAATCATATTGATGCCCATTTAATGCATTAACTTTGGGAAGTTTACAACGCACGTAAGTCGAGGTGCACGATCCCGAGGCAATGCGCTACTAAACCTAGCGTAACACTCGAATTGCTCACACTGAGTTTGGTAGTCGAGGTACAGCTGGACAGAGGTAATGATGACGATGACTTCCTGCCGTCTACACAAGGATGGGAGGCCACGCTGCATCTAATGTGAGGTGACTGAAGAGCTGGTGCCCATAATGATGAATAGGGCCACATGATTTCATGCTCACAATGCATATAATGCAAATTCAGTGAAGTGATGGATGCAATAGGTTAGTAGCATGGTTGTTGTTGTTAGTACCTTTGTTTTGATGGTGATTTACAAACAATCTCTAATATCGTTTGTCTAGTGTTTGTATTTATTTATTAGGTATTCTAGACAAATATCAATGTTAGAGGTTGGATGGAATCGAGCATTCACGATTATATCTATTGGATAGAAGGAATAATGGAGTGAAGCAATACATTTCAAGTTAAGATCTAAGATCTAGCTTCATCCACAAAGTTTACCAATACGAGCTCAATTGAAGATCAAGATTGCTTGGGCAAATTAGTTTAGGTGTTATATTATGTGTGTTTTATACTTCAAACTCAATATCATATACACACACAATTTATTGGTTTTATCTGTTTTTTGATTTATCCACAAACAAAGTTTTTACAAGCAAATAGATATATATTCATATACATACATATTTGTTTTTATTGGATAAGTTGTTTTGGCATTATAGATATGAAACAATAGTTATATTCATATACAATTTCATATGTTTCATATTCTATTGTATTTTTGATAAAACATTGTGTTCTTGGTTTATGGACTTGATAATACTAGTATATATCTTTTCTAAGTCTATAAAGCCATACAAAAGTTTTCAAACTTTTTTTTAAGTCAAAAATCAAAAATAAAAAATCAAGTATTTATACAAACATATATTTTCATATTTTGGACTAGTTTTGTAAAATGATGAGTTTTCACAAATGAGAAATACAATTTAAAAATTTATTTTTTTAACATGTTCATTATCATGTTTATAAACATTTCCCAATGTTTTACATTTTTTTAGAATTTATTTGCTATTTTTAAAGGCACTTCAAAACTCAGGTTTCATCCATGAACAATGCATATGCACGTTCATGAGTCGACTTACATGATCTGATAAGTCAACTTATGATCTACTCTAGAAATAGCAAAACTATCTGCTGAGTCGACTTATTATTCTAGCAAGTCGGCTTATACTAAGTCAACTTATACCCTCTGTCAAGTCAACTTATAAGCTGTTTTGCAGATAGTAGTTTTCTTCTGCTAAGTCGACTTATGTGCATTGACAAGTCGACTTATTACATATGAGTCGACTTATAACTTCTGACAAGTCAACTTATAAACTAGTCGTTACACAGTAAAGGCTATTTTCTAGATTTTGTTTATTTTATTGTTTTTATGGTTTTTTGTTATTTTCTTGGGCTGGTTTCTTCTACCCTATATATACCCATTTATCATAATTATTTCTAACTATCAAGAAAGTTTTTAAACAAGTTTAAAGGGTGTTTAAAGTTTTGCTTCAAGTGTGTTTTGTGTGAAATTATTTTCACAAGAGGAGGAGATCATCGCTTTGGTGTTTTGGCTTCAACCTCATCTCTCTCTCTCTCTCTCTCTCTCTCTCTCTCTCTCTCTCTCTTGATTTCTAGAGAAGATTTTATAAACTAAATTCTAGCTTTATATTTGTATTTGTTTGATTATCATTTTTATTAAGCTAGAGTTTATATTGGGGAAAATTTGCAAAATAGTTCATTTTTGCTAATTATTTAGCAAAATAGACCGTTTTACTAAATAATTAGCAAAATATACCTTTTTTTGACCAACAGGCCAAAAAAGGTCTATTTTGTAAAACAGCTCAGAAAACATACGGGACTAGTAGTCCCGTATGTTTTAATCACGGATTAGTAAACTCAGAAAATTTCACAAAACATTGAGATGAACTCAGAAAACATACGGGACTACTAGTCCCGTATGTTTTCTGAGTCACTAATCCGTGATTAAGTTGGCTCTAAACATACGGGACTAGTAGTCCCGTATGTTTTCTGAGTCTTGTTTTTTAAAATCGAC